TCATCAATTAATTTAAATTCAACTTATTACTCATTCATCAACTATTATTATTCCAATTATTTCTATTCACTTCCTATTTATATTACTTATTTTTATTACTACATATTAATTTCTTATTCTCCTTCAATAAAAATAGTATTAGTATTTTACATTCTTAAGAATCAATTACTTCTTTTACAATGTTTTTCTATTAATTCATTTTTTCCTTCTCATAAAATATTTTTTATTAGATATTTATTTAAGTCAAATTTTGTTTAACAATTTCAATTTCTTCTTTGATAATTTACTTTACCAAAGGGGTCACACTTTCAACTATCGATGATGAATAGTTAAATTCTGATATATTGAATTAATTAATCTAAGGTATTTCAAGATGTGATTCTGTATAATTAGTCTTACATGTAAAGGGTATATGAAGTAATGAATCAATTAACTCATCAATTCTAGAGAAACCAGTCTAAAAAGTAATATGAGATATAAGAATTCTTCTATTTCATTCTCTACTTCCAAAAAGCGTTATTCAATTTTAGACATTGCTGATGATTAAATAGATAAAATTTATTTATTAGTTTAATTATGTTTTTAATAAAGAAAAGATTTAGTTTATTTATATTAATGTTTGATATAATATAAAAATGTTATTTTTTAAAAACTCCCCGATTTTATTAATTTTGTGCTATTGCCAAAACTAAAAGAGAAGCTAAAACATTAACTTGCTAAAGCTTAGTAATTATTACCTCGTCCATGAAAAATTAGAATCTTGTAAACTCTTCATATCACTCTTTTCATAATAAATAAGGATAATTTAATGCAAAGAAATCTCATTTTCCATAATTGGAATATTAAAAAAAATAAACAAAAACATAGAAACTAAATGAGTTTTAAAATATAACAAAATTCATTAAGAAGGTTAATATATATCTCTGAAAATATAAACAATAAATTATACTTAGTGTATTGTGTAACAATAATACTTGATTAAAATATTTTGGCTTAAATTTCATTTTCATTGTAATACTCTAAATTAGTGTATTTTTTGATTAATATCATTTTAAGATGGATGGTTATATGTTAGAGCTATAGAATAATTTTTTATGGCTGAAATAAATTGGTTCAATTTTTATAATTGAATTGCTAAATGATATTAAATACCAAACCTTTTTAAAAATAAGCATCAGCATGATAAGGATGAAGGTAAATCACTTGATTAAAGCAGTGTATCGCTTGTTCATATTAATTCATATTATCTAAAGTAAGACCTAAAATTCAAATATAGAGATCTAACCTTTTCGAAAATAAAGATTTATTGACTATGGATCAATTTTGATTGCTTGATTATAGTCACCTAATGCTTTATCTTTTTCACCAATATCATCATATAATATGGCTAATATATTAATTGTAAAAGTATTTACCTCTTCCATTATAGGCATTAACATATTTAGGATCAAGTTGGATTGCTTGATTATAATCACTTAATGCTTTATCTTTTTCACCAATATCAATATATAATATGGCTAATATATTAATTGTAAAAGTATTTACCTCTGTTATTATAGGCATTAACATATTTAGGATCAAGTTGGATTGCTTGATTATAGTCACTTAATGCTTTATCTTTTTCACCAATATCTTTATAGAATATGGCTAATATATTAAGTGTAAAAGTATTTACCTCTGTTATTATAGGTCATTGCACAATTAGGATTAAGTTGGATTGCTTGATTATAGTCACTTAATGCTTTATCTTTTTCACCAATATCATTATATAATATGGCTAATATATTAATTGTAAAAGTATTTACCTCTTCCATTATAGGCATTAACATATTTAGGATCAAGTTGGATTGCTTGATTATAGTCACTTAATGCTTTATCTTTTTCACCAATATCTTTATATAATATGGCTAATATATTAAGTGTAAAAGTATTTACCTCTGTTATTATAGGTCATTGCACAATTAGGATTAAGTTGGATTGCTTGATTATAGTCACTTAATGCTTTATCTTTTTCACCAATATCATTATATAATATGGCTAATATATTAATTGTAAAAGTATTTACCTCTTCCATTATAGGCATTAACATATTTAGGATCAAGTTGGATTGCTTGATTATAGTCACTTAATGCTTTATCTTTTTCACCAATATCATTATATAATATGGCTAATATATTAATTGTAAAAGTATTTACCTCTTCCATTATAGGCATTAACATATTTAGGATCAAGTTGGATTGCTTGATTATAGTCACTTAATGCTTTATCTTTTTCACCAATATCATTATATAATATGGCTAATATATTAATTGTAAAAGTATTTACCTCTTCCATTATAGGCATTAACATATTTAGGATCAAGTTGGATTGCTTGATTATAGTCACTTAATGCTTTATCTTTTTCACCAATATCATTATATAATATGGCTAATATATTAATTGTAAAAGTATTTACCTCTTCCATTATAGGCATTAACATATTTAGGATCAAGTTGGATTGCTTGATTATAGTCACTTAATGCTTTATCTTTTTCACCAATATCTTTATATAATATGGCTAATATATTAAGTGTAAAAGTATTTACCTCTGTTATTATAGGTCATTGCACAATTAGGATTAAGTTGGATTGCTTGATTATAGTCACTTAATGCTTTATCTTTTTCACCAATATCATTATATAATATGGCTAATATATTAATTGTAAAAGTATTTACCTCTTCCATTATAGGCATTAACATATTTAGGATCAAGTTGGATTGCTTGATTATAGTCACTTAATGCTTTATCTTTTTCACCAATATCATTATATAATATGGCTAATATATTAATTGTAAAAGTATTTACCTCTTCCATTATAGGCATTAACATATTTAGGATCAAGTTGGATTGCTTGATTATAGTCACTTAATGCTTTATCTTTTTCACCAATATCATTATATAATATGGCTAATATATTAATTGTAAAAGTATTTACCTCTTCCATTATAGGCATTAACATATTTAGGATCAAGTTGGATTGCTTGATTATAATCACTTAATGCTTTATCTTTTTCACCAATATCATCATATAAATTGCCTATAAAATTAGATGTAATAGTATTCACCTCTTTGGAAATAGGCTGTTGAGTCATTTGGATTAAGTTAAATTGATTGATTTTAATCACTTAATGCTTTATCTTTTTCACCAATATCTTTATATAATATGGCTAATATATTAAGTGTAAAAGTATTTACCTCTGTTATTATAGGTCATTGCACAATTAGGATTAAGTTGGATTGCTTGATTATAGTCACTTAATGCTTTATCTTTTTCACCAATATATTTATATAATATGGCTAATATATTAAGTGTAAAAGTATTTACCTCTGTTATTATAGGTCATTGCACAATTAGGATCAAGTTGGATTGCTTGACTATAGTCACTTAATGCTTTATCTTTTTCACCAATATCATCATATAAATTGCCTATTAAATTGAGTGTAATAGTATTTACCTCTGTTATTATAGGCATCAACATATTTAGGATCAAGTTGGATTGCTTGACTATAGTCACTTAATGCTTTATCTTTTTCACCAATATCATCATATAAATTGCCTATTAAATTGAGTGTAAAAGTATTTACCTCTGTTATTATAGGCATTAACATATTTAGGATCAAGTTGGATTGCTTGATTATAGTCACTTAATGCTTTATCTTTTTCTCCAATATCATTATATAATATGGCTAATATATTAAGTGTAAAAGTACTTACCTCTGTTATAATAGGCTAAAGCATATTTTGGATTTATTTTTATAGCTTAATTGAAATTTCTAAGTGCATCATTAAACATTTGTTCATCAAAATAATACAAACCTAGAAATATAAATTTAAATTACCTCTACACATAAATGCATAATAGCAGTTTTCATCTTTATCTATAGCTTAATTGTAATATGAGAGTTCACTATTCTTTTATTTCAAATCTCCCATTATAGTACCTAAACATTTATGTTTATCTCATTACCCATTCTAGAATATCCAATGGCAAAGTTTGGATTAATCAAAACACACCTCTAACAATCTTATAATGCTAGATCAAAATTTTTTTTTCTCCTATAAATAGTTGCTTAAATTATCAGATCTAATTAATACCCCGTTAATAATAACTTTCAGCATTATTGTTATTGATAAATATGCTATAATTTATATCTTCCAACGCCTTATCGTATAACTTCAACTGCTCATATAATCCACCTAAATAGATATTTAAAGATTGAACTTCTTAAAGTATAGGCTTCTGCAAACTGAGGACAAAGATTTAAGGCATTATTAATTTCTAATAATGCTTCTTCAGTTCTATAAGTTATCTTAAACTCCTAAGAACGATTTCATTTAATAATTTAACCTAACTTCTTGAATAATGTGCTATTGCACCAGCATTCTCATTTTCGTTTAAACTGTTGTTGCTCATTTTGAGATGTATCCAAATTTTTTTTAATAAAATAATTATAAAATTTAGGATATTCAAATTTGGTTAAATATCAAAAGTTCTGATAAAAAAAAAACATTAAAATTTGTATTTTTGCAGAAATCTATTTAGAGTTTTTTCAGCCATATATCTCCCATTTAATCTTTATTCTTAGGGTCTATATATATGAATCACTAAGAACTAAATTAATTGATGAGGATGCCTTCTTTCTTAATTAAAGAGGCATAATTCAATTTTTTTTCTTAATTTGAGTATTTTTCTATTAATGCAGAATTCTAATATTTCTGATTATTAATTATCCTCTTTATCAATATAAATAGAAAATCAAAAATCTGTTGCGTAGAGCTCAAATTAAATATAATTAATATATTAATAAATTAAAAATTATGTTTGTAGTATCTAGATAGTTTAGAAGATTGTAGTTAAATAAATATGACAAATATCAAGATTAATATCCTAATAACTTATGAGACAAAGTTTGTGATTGTGTTGTGGAACAATAATATTCAAGTTTTAATTATTGGCTGATAGGTAGAAAAATGAGATTACATGAGTATGCTTTAATTGGTACTCTCTGCAAATTGAGGTAAGTATCAGTTGAATATAAGAGATGATATTCTATAAGTATTGTCTATCAGACTAAGAAACTATTATTTTATATTGATAAATAGAAAAATAAGAGAGTATGATAAAAAGTGGAGATTTTATGATAAATTATTAATGTGGAAATTTTTTAATTTTTATATCGATATTATTACAATAGAAAAGCTCCTCAAGGAGCAGGATCAAAAAACAAACGTAGTGAGACATCTGCCTTTGCTTTTATTTCCCCTTTCTTTTTCTTTTATATCTAATTTCAATTAATGAAGAGAAAGCCTAGTTGTTATACTATTCTTTATTGATATTGTATTGAATATTGATTATACAAACAGGAAAATAATACTACACATAAATCCAAACACTAAGAAAAAAAAAACCCTCCCATCC